TATCTCACATCTTTATCCATTCATCTATTGATGGACACTTGGGCTGCTTCCATAATTTGGCTGTTGTAAATAATGCTGCAATAATCATCAAAGGGGTGCATGTATCCCTTTGAATTAGTATCTTTGTATTCTTTGGGTAAGTACCCAGTAGTGGAAATACTGGATCTGTGGTAATTCTATTGTTAATGTTTTGGGGAATCTTCAAACTGTTTTCCACAGTGGCTCCACCAGCTTACATTCCCACCAATAGGGCATGGTGGTTCCTATTTTCTCAACATCCTTGTCCACACCTATTGTTCCTTGAGTTTTTCATTTTAGCCATTCTAACAGGTATGGGTGATATCTCATTGTGGTTTTGATTTGCATTTCCTTGATGATAAGTGATGTTGAGCATCTTTTCATATGTCTGTTGGCCACCTATAGGTCTTCTTTGTTGAAATGTCTGTTCATGTCTTCTGCCCATTTTTAATTGGATTATTTAGTTTTTGGGGGTTGAGTTGTAAAAATTTTTTATATATTTTTGGATACTAACTCTTTATCAGATATGTCATTTGCAAATATCTTTTCCCATTCAGTACATTATTTTTTAGTTGTTGTAGTCCCAATATTTTATGTTTGCTTTTGTTTCCCTTGCCTCAGGAGACATATCTAGAAAAATGTTGCTATAGCTGATGTCAGAGAAATTATTGCCTGTGCTCTCTTCTAGGATTTTTATGGTTATAGGTCTCCCATTTAGGTCTTTTATCCATTTTGAGTTTATTTTTGTGTATGGTGTAAGAAAGTGGTCCAGTCTCATTCTTTTGTATGTTGCTGTCCAGTTTTCCCGATTCCATTTGTTGAAATGACTTTTTCTCATTACATATTCTTTCCTACTTTCTCAAAGACTAATTGATCATATAGTTGTGGATTTACCTCTGGGCTTTCTATTTGGTTCTATTGATCCATGTGTCTATGTTTGTGCCTGTACCATACTGTTTTGATTACTACAGTTTTGTAGTATATCTTGAAATCTGGGATTGTGATACCTCCAGGTTCATTCTGCTTTTTCAAGATTGCTTTGGCTATTCAGGGTCTTCTGTGAGTTCCCATACAAATTTTAGGATTATTTGTTGTAATTCTGTGAAAAATGCTGTTGATGTTTTGATAGGAATTACATTCTGTACATTGCTTTGGGTAGTATGGACATTTTAACAATATTTATTCTCCCAATCCATGAACATGGAATATCTTTTTTGTGTCATCTTCAATTTCTTTCATCAATGTTTTATAGTTTTTAGAGTACAGGCCTTCCACCTCCTTGGTTAAGTTTATTCCTAGGTATTTTATTATTTTTGGTGCAATTGTAATTGCAACTGTTTTCTTAATTTCTCTTTCAGCTAGAATAGTGACATTTTAAAATTAAACTGTTATATCAGCCTTTCAAATATGCTCGGAAGAATCTAAAAACCAAAGATGACACCTATCCAAATCTATATATTGTTCAGTCATTAGTCATTCATTATCCTAACTTTCTGGGAAGAATATCTTCCAATAAGAAGGCTTTACTAAGGCTCATTGTATATTATTTATCGTATATTTTTCTTAAAGTCTTCTTGTTATGGAAGATAAAACAGGAGAAAATAACCCTAAAAAATGGAAATTTCACATTTTACTATTATATCAGTAAACAAAGATATTTTGACTGTGAACAAAGATCTATCTAATTTACCTGTTTGTTTTTTCTGTCTCTGTTCTCTCTCTCTCTCTCTCTCTCTCTCTCTCTCTCTCTCCATGTATATATTTATGTTACTCTATTTAATTATCTGTCTGTCTACCCATTAATCCAAAAATTCTATTTTCTAGATTGCCTCAAAGTTATAGGTGCTCAGAGGGATACACACACACCCTTGAGAATTAGTAAACATAGTTTCATTTCATGATTGAAAATAATAAGTATTAAAATAATTTAGGTAATTGGGGCACCTGGATGGCTCAGTCAGTTAAGTGTTCGACTCTTGATTTCGGCTCAAGTCATGATCTCATAGTTTGTGAGTTCAAGCCCTACATTGGTGTCTGTGCTGACAGTGTGGAGCCTGCTTGGGACTCTCTCTCTCTCCCTCTGTCTCTGCCCCTCCCCTGGTCGTTCTCTCTCTCTCTCTCTTTCAAAATTAATAAACATTAAAAAATAATTTAGGTAATAATAACGTTTACACTTTTCTTTTCAAGAAGATATTTTGTCAAATAGTAGACTGATGCCCATCTGGTGATTTCCACCTCTTTTTCTCCTCCTCCCTTCCCAGGGAGGTCATTCCTTAATTCAAGGGTGGCTAGCATGTACACTGGTTTATTTATTCTGACAATGAGATCTGGCTGCCATCTAGAGTGGCCTACCTCTAGTTGGTGCTAATGCTTATTTAGAATAACATGGCTAATATTGATCCTCAGGATACTGAAACAGCCCTAAATTAGGAGTCAGAAGATCCATGCTCTGGGCCTTTTTGCCACTGACTTGAGGTTATCACTTAATATCCTCGGGTCCTTGTCTGTAGAAGCAAAGTTTGGCCAAAGTCCCACCAGCTCTAATGTGTGAGTCCACAAGAGTGAACCCACTGCATTGTATTTGTTGAAGGTGCTGGGCCTGCCGCCAACCCACTTCATTCAGACAGCCTCCAGGAGACAGACATTTTTTGGTAAGTCCCCAGGTCTAAATCTCTTTCTCCCATTGTGATGATGAGCTTTTACAGACCTTGAAGATATCTTCCATACTCTAAACCCCATTTAGTTCTCTTCCCATGGCTCCATCCGAAAGGGCAAGCTGTGATTGGGAGTTTCTGTTAGAAAAGTAAAAAGATGCTGAGAAGTGGTACCAGAAAGCATGATGGAGATAGGATGGGGCAGTCACATTGCAAAGGAGGTCTTGGCATAAAAATAACCAGGTTCCTGTTCAGAAAATCTATCAGCAGATCTTGAAAACTTGAAATATTATAATTATGTCATCTCCTGTAAATTCTCCTTATGTCTGCAAGCAGTTTCCCCTTTCATACTATGTACTGTTCAGGGAAATCAAAGAGCAGAAGTTTCTTTTCCAGAAGAGTGGGAAATTTCTTTGTTATATAAATAATGGAGCATTTCTTTCCTGCTGAAATTCTCTTAAATCCCCATATCTTTACTATGCCAGGATCATTGAAACTTGGCTATGAAATGGGTAAATAAAGGTTGTCAGAACAGTTTGGCTGTGGGTATGTTGTGGCTTGCCAGTTATGTGGAGGACATCTGCCTAATTGTTGGAATTAAGCCTCATCGATAGCCCCATGCTGTTTCCAGGCTCTGGATTTTCTGACCCTCTGCCTTTCTATTTGATTGGTGCTGTACAATGTGGACAGGTAGATCAATGATCTACCTCAGGTCCAACTGAGGCAGGGTTTCCAGGGCACTATGCACCACAAAGATGAACTCAGTCCCATATCTAAAATCCTTTTAAAGAATCACAAGAACCTAAGGGATTCTTATGAAAAAAAAAAAAAAAAAGCCATAGTGAAATGGAAGTTCAGCCACATGGAACGAAGCCAGATGTGAGGGAAAAGGGACTCCACAATTAGGGGCTCTGCGCCATCTGGAATGACATTTCTGATGAGCCATTCTTGTCAGGTCAATTTACAGGCTTATATTGGCTGTGGAATCTCCATCACTCTTAGCCATCTCACATCTTATTTCCACCCAAGAGGGCCCCCCAAAATTTGGGGGGGAATCCTCTACTTTCTTTAACTTGCCCCATCAACAAAAGAGTTAAAGATACCCTAATGGGGGATCCTTCTGGACTAAAATGTTTTAGTCATGTTAGTGATGAGTCATATACACTGGTTCAATCATGTGGGGGGTTAAAATGTAGCCTCCATCTGCACAATTTGGTAAAAAACCACTGCCACAGCTACAGGCTCCCTGGCCCCTTTTCCAGGACTCATTGGACTCTGTGATCCAGAAACTAAAATTTTAAGGCCTGGCAAGCAGACCTCATGATCTTGTTTCAGTGCCAAAGATGTCATCCTTTCTGATCGGTCAGTCCCATGCCACTCCAATGGTTAAATCGTTGAGATGTCACCTTGTAGTCAGAGCTTTGAAGACCTTCCCTTTGGGCATGATCAGTGTCCTGGTTGCTTTAGAACAGTGCCCATGCACTAACACTTCTTCTAGAGCAGTCTGATGGCTAGGTAGGAAGATCTGGCTGGCTTGTTTGTATAACTTATACATAGAGCAATGGAATTGGTCTTTTAACCCCAAATATATTTTTCCTATCCACCATATTTAATTCAGCCTTTTGGATTTCAAAGGATTTAGGGAAAGAAAAGTAGGGATAGTGGTGTTCCCTGAAGTCAAAATTATAGTGGGGGGCACTAAAAGGAAAGTAATATAAGGCATGGTAAGAGGGTCTGGTTCATAGAGTACTGATTTTTACCATCAGCATTGAGGCTTTAAAATAATGATGTGTTTTTGGTGGCAACATCCACAGATCTTCACTTCCTGCATAAGAAAAGGCTTTATTGGGAGCTGCATCCTCTTCAGTGTTTCCCGAACTTTATCTGATTATAAGAATCAGAGCTGGAGAGGAGAGCCTGGGTGGCTCAGTCCGTTGAGCATCTGACTCTTGATTTCTGCTCAGATCATGATCTCATGGTTCATGAGATTGAGCCCCACATGGGGCACTGTGCTGACAGCATGGGGTCTGCTTGGGATTCTCTCTTCCCTCTCTCTCTGTGTCCCCTTACATCCTAAAAATAAACTTAAAAAAGAAAAGAATCAGTTAGGAACTTGGCAAAAATGCTAATTCCCATTATCTTCCGATATAACCTATGATATAGCAGATTTGAGGTGGAACTCAAGAGTCAGTTTCTAACAACAGCTCTTTGTGATTCTTATGATAAAGTAAGTTGGAGAAACAATATGTTCACCTCAATTCTTGGCTCTCCCTTGCCCATATTTGGGCTGCCAAAAGCTCCTCAAACCCCAGCAACTTGTAGTTTATATGTTTGATTAGCAGAAAGTGATGTTGCCTCAAGGGTAGTAAGCTACTTAGATGCTCCAGGCTGCAAAAAGGAGATGGAGATAATAATTAAATATTGGGGAGTGTCAGAGCAATGAGAAAAACTTGAACAAGAAAAACAATTACATACTGACAACTTCATGAGCTGTTATTTTTATAAGCCTGTGAGCCTGATTCTTCGGTCATTTGTAAAAAGAGAAATATAAGATCAAATGGGAGTACTAGTGCCACAGTAAAAAAGGAAATGGGGTTTGAACAAAGGAAATGGGGTTTATATGAGTTCACAAGACCTATATACCCTGTGCAATGTCCCCAATTTATTTTTATGTCTGTAGATACACATGCCCACGTATGTGTATATACACATTTGTGGTTTCTTCTAGGAATTCAGTATGAGCAGATGTTCTTTTTGAGGACCCACAAATTGTATTGATTACAAAAGTAATAGAAGGGCTTCACTATACACCTTCCAGAATGCCCATCATGTGAACCCCACTGAGTTTTTGTGAGAGTTCAGTTTAGTATGCAAAGTGTATGTATCTGTTCATGTCCATCCTTATGCAGATTTACAAGGTATGAGCAAAAGTGGTCTTTTCTGAACATGCACACCAGAGTATAGATATCCAGATGAGTGGCCTCACCTTCAAAGCACTGCACAGAGCATTTTAGGGAAACCTCTGGAGATGTCTTCAGGGCTTCTTTTCAGGCATGACAAATACCTTTGGTAAGGGTTTTAATCAGTGAAAAATGACTGAAGAAAAGAGACTTCCAGACTGTGTCTTAAGCAACAAACCAAGTTTGGTGATTCCAATTTATGGAGAAAATTTTGATGTGACTATAGAAAGTAATGCGATTTATTTGCTTGTGTGGCTTGTAAATGAGTTCTGAAAGCAGATGATTCTCCTACAATAACTTTCTTGTTATACTTTAGGCATATCCCAAATTCTCATTTTATTGGGCTAGTGAGAAAGGAGAGAGGGCATAGAAAATCCAAGAATAGACAACATCTTTTTCTGTTCAGAGCTGATGTTTTTGTCACTTTAGATTTATTATTATTGTATTATCATTATCATTATTATTTTACCTTGGTTAATGTTAAACCATTTAAGTCATTTGATTTGGGGAGGAGGAGGCAGGAAGGAGGCTCAGAACATACTGGATAGTAGGGAGTATTGTTTGTAAAGGTTAATTGCATTCACTGGATAATCTACATGTGGCTCTTTCTGTCTGACTGAGACTGAGGGCATGTTCGTGTGTATGGGAGGGGTATGGTATAGGACTGAGATAGAGCTGCAAAGACCATTCCAAGAAGCAGCATGGTTGAGTAAAAAGCTGTGATGTGACCAATGGATATTAACACCTGGAACTAAACACAGAATGTTGTATCTCCAAAGATTCCAAAGGTTTTCCTAAAAATATGACCAACAACAGGGGGAGAAAAAGATACCCAGATTCCAAGGATCTCACGATGGTGCTGAAAACCTACGATGCCAGCTTCCTGGACTTTCTCAGAAGATGTTTGGTGTGAGTTTGTCATGGTGTCTTTGCCTCTAGGTGTCCTCTTAAACACTGTACTTTCCCACTCATTTGCTGGTGAAAGTCTGGGACTTGGACACAGTTATAAAAATAATAATAAATACTGACCATAGAGCTTGAAGTCTATATAATGCTTTCCCTCATCAGACTGCTCTCTTCCCTTCCTGTGTGATTAGAAAGTAGATGATTTGCTTAATTTTGAGATGTGGAGTCTGAGGCTCAAACAGTGACTTGCCCTGGATTACAGTGTGTGGGTAGAACTTGCCTTCTTGGCCTCAAACTGCCGGGCAGCAAGGTGTAGGCAAGTTCTGAATAGCTTTTGCTTCATGAACTGAAGTCAACCTCCTCTATGTTGTAACTGTTTACATACATACCCAGTGTATGTCTCTGGTTCCCTCCCTATTTCCCTAGGAAATAAAGCCTAAATCCTCTTTGTATTGAGGAATTAGGGAAGGGGTTATCTATAAACCATTTGTTTTGTACAGCTTTTACAAACCTATATGCTTATTTTGACTCTGAGAAATTAGGTTCTGTACTTCAGTCAAGTCACAGTGAAAAAAAGACCAGTAAAAAAAGCACTCAGAGCAGTGCCTAATTTAGAAGGTGTTTAGAACATGTTAGCTCTTGTCATTATTTTAAAAGAAGTTTTGCAAGTGTGTTTCCACTGAATGGCAAATAGATTAGCTGCATGATATTTGATAAGTCATTGTCTCTCTGTGGGCTTCAGTTTCCTTTTCTGTATAATACGGGTATTCCTAAGGTGCCTTCTAGTTATATCAGTCCTATAAGTGTTTAGCATTTTTAGAGACCATAGGTCTATGGCCTCTCATTCTTCCAGTGGGATGGAGTAGTTTTAGCAAAATACTCTTCTGGCATTTGTGCACTAGCTCAGCGGATAAGCCGTCAAGTACTTCTGAAGGTTGGGGGTCATGCTACTCATCTGTAGAATGGAGATAGAGAAGGATCCTGTACTCCATCATTATCTCCATGTCACCACCCACTGCCAGCTTCTTGCTGAGGCTATAAAATGAATGTGCTTTAACAAATGACAAAAACTCACTACTGAGACTGAGGTGAATTATCCATAAACCCCAGCCATCCAGAACACAGCTCAGAACCAAGAAAGAAATTATTTTCTTTTTTAGAGCAAAGGGCTGGCTGTTCACAACTTGCAAGAAGCAGTCACGCTAATGGGCCCATTATCTGAGCATTCCTTTTTCTTTCCCTTCTTCTTCTTCTTCTTTTTACTAATTAGCAAATTTTTGGAATGAGAGACTAGAAGTTTTGAGTCAAATTTAAGAGAGGTAAATGTAAAGTCCTGTGGGGAGTTGTAGCTTAACAGCAGTTCATTTGAAAAAGAACTGGGAGATTGAGTTGTTTATGAGCTTGATGAGTCTACAATATTAATGCCATCTACCTGCAGTTAAAAGCTATCCCCAGCATGGTGGACACCAGTAAGACAATAGCTGGAATCTCCTATGCAGGAAGGTGGCAACCATATCATATGAGCAACACTTAGTAGCAATGTAAGTGTTTTTGGATAGTTGGAGGATTGTACCATAAAATACAGGTGGGTTGTCCCATTCTCTATACAGTGGCTCCCCCTTACCCGCGGTTTCACTTTCCGTGGTTTCAGTTACTCACAGTCAACCGTGGTCCAGAAGCAGATGATCCTCCTTCTGACATCTCGTCAGAAGGTCATTGGTAGCCTAGCACTACATCACACTGCCTGTGTCATTCACCTCACTTAATCCCATCACATATGCATTTTATCATCTCACATCATAAGAAGGGTGAGTATGACACTAGAAGATGTTTTGAGAGGAAGAGACCACATTCACATAATTTTTCTTATAGTATATTATTATACTTATTCTATTTTATTATTAGTTATTGTTGTGAATCTCTTACTGTGCCTAATTTATAAATTAAGTTTTATCATAGGTATGTATATAGGAAAACACATAGTATATACAGATGTTTGTGCTGTCCAGTTTCACGCATCCATTGGGGGTGGAATGTATTACCCTATGGAGAAGGGGGGGACTACTGTAATGTTAGTAGGTAGAATTAGAACCTGGGTCTGTTATTAGTGTGCAAGTTCCTGGGAAGTGTAAATTTAGGCTCAATTAAAATGAAGAATTTTTAAAGAATTAGTTTTATCAATACTGGAATAGCTAATTATGTGAGTAAGTGCCTTGTCACTAAAAATACTCAAGAATAGCAAGATGAACCCATAACCAGCGAATAAATTGAATCAGTTATCAAAAATATCCAAACAAATAAGAGTCCAGGACCAGATGGCTTCCCAGGAGAGTTCTGCAGATGTTTAAAAACGAGAGAGATAATACCTATCACTACTCAAGCTATTCCAAACAATAGAAAGGGAAGGGAAAACTTCCGAACTCATTCTATGAGGCAGTATTTTTGATCCTAAACCAGACAAGTAGTAAAAAAAAGAAGAACTACAGGCCAATATCCTGATGAATATGGATGCAAAATTCTCAATAAGACTAGCAAATTGAATTCAACAGCATATAAAAGAATTATTCACCATGATCAAGTGGGATTCATTCCTGGGATGCAGGGCTTCAACATTACAAATCAATCAGCATTGATACATCACATTAATGAAAAGAAAGAAGAACCTATGATCATCTGTCAATTGATGAAAAAGCATTTGACAGAATTCAGCATCCTTTCTTAATAAAAACCCTTGAAAGTTGGGATAGAAGGAACATACTTAAAGATCACAAGAGCCATTTATTAAAAGCCCACAGCTAACATCATCCTCACTGTTGAAAAACTGAGAGAGCTTTTCCCTAAGATCAGGAACAAGACAAGGATGTCCTCTCATCACTGTTGTTTAACATAGTGTTGGAAGTTCTAGCATCAACAATCAGACAACAAAAGGAAATCAAAAGGCATCAAAATTGTAGCAGATGAAGTCAAGCTTTCACTTTGCAGATGACATGATACTATACATGGAAAATCCGATAGACTCCCACCAAAAAGTCTGCTGAGAACTGATACATGGTCAGCAAAGTTACGGATACAAAAATCAATGTACAGAAATCAGTTGCATTCTTATACACTAATAATGAAAACAGAAAGACAAATAAAAGAAATTAAGTCCATTCACCTGCTCAAAGAGCAAAATACCTAGGAATAAATCCTCACAACCAAGATGTAAAAGATGTGTTTGTGAAAACTATAGAAAGCATGAAGGAAATTGAAGATGTAAAAGTGGAAAAAAACATTGCTCATGTGGAAGAATAATGTTAAAATGTCTACCCAAAGCTATCTACATTCATGCAATCCCAATCCAAATTGCACCAGCATTCTTCTTGAAGCTAGAACAAGCAATCTGGGAGAATTCACATGGAGCCACAAAGGCCCTGAATAGCCAAAGTAATTTTGAAGGCGGCCAAAGCAGTGAGTAAATTTGTACTCTACTACAAAGCTGTAATCATCAAGACAACTGTTGGCACAAAATATGAACACTACATAGACCAGATGGAATAATCCCAGAACTAGACCCTGAAGTATGGCCAACTAATCTTTGACAAAAGCAGGAAAGAATATCCAATGGAAAAAAAGACAGTCTCTTTGATAGTTGCTAAAAAAAAACTGGACAGCAACATGCAGAAAGATAAACTAGGCCAAAAGTATGGCCAACAATAATCTTTGACAAAGCAGGAAAAGAATATCAATGGAAAAAGAACTTGGTCTCTTTAGCAAATGGTGCTAAAAACTGGACAACAACATATCTGAAAAAGAATGAAACTAGACCACTTTCTTACACCATTCACAAAAATAAACTCAAAATGGATAAAGGACCTGAATGTGAGCAGGAAGCCATCAAAACCCTAGAACGAGAAAAAGGAAACTCTCTGACTTCAGCCAGCAATTTCTTACTTGACACATCCCAAAGACGAGGGAATTAAAAGCAAAAAAAATGAGCTATTGGGACCTCATGAAGATAAAAAAAAAAAAGCTTCTGCACAAAGAAACAATCAACAAAAACTAAAGGCAACCAGCAGAATGGGAAAAAGATATTTGCAAAATGACATATCGGACAAAAGGGCTAGCCATCGTCTATAAAAGAAGCTCATCAAACTCCACACCAGAAAAACAAATAATCCAGTGAAGAAAATGGGCAGAAAACATGAATAGACACTTCTCTAAAGAAGGCATCCAGATGGCCAACAGGCTCATGAAAAGATGCTCAAATCACTCCTCACCAGGGAAATGCAAATCCAAAAACCACACTCAGGCATCACCTCACACCAGAAATCAAATTATTAGAACAAATCAAGGAGACTATAGATGCTACTTGGAAAGATGTGGAAACAAGGAACCTCTTACTGTTGTTGGGAGAATGCAAACTGGTGCAGCCACTCTGGGAAAACACAGTATTAATTTCCTCAAAAATTAAAAATAGACACCCTATGACCAACAGTAGCACTGAGAATCTACAAGGGATACAGGAGTACTGATGCATAGGGGCACTTGTACCCCAATGTTTCAACAGCACTCTCAACAATGAGCAAATTATGGAAGAGCCTTCCCCCTAAATGTCCATCAACTGATGAATGGATAAAGGGGAGGCAATGGTTTATATACTGTGGAATACTAAATGGCAATGAGAAGAATGAAATATGGCCTTTTTGTAGCAATGATGGAACTGGAGGTGTAGTGCTAAGTGAAATAAGCCTGAGAGAAAGACAGATACCATATGTGTTCACTCTTTGTGTGGATCCTGAAAGCAACAGAAACCCACATGGGGAGAAGGAAAAAAAAAAAAAGAGGTTAGAGTGGGAAGAGAGCCAAAAGTATAACAGAGACTCTTAAAGAAAGAAAGTAAACTGAGGGGTTGATGGGGGGGGTGGGAGGAGGAGGGGAGGGTGGTGAGGGCATTGAAGATGGCATCTTTTGGGATGAGCACTGGGTGTTGTATGGAAACCAATTTGACAATAAATTTCATATATTAAAAAAATAAAGACAAGAATATTATAGCTAAAAAAAAAAAAAGAATAGCAAGATGATTCTGTGTTGAAGTTTCTGTCAGATGCTTTGTCACTGCATTGGAGGTTTGACTAGATTATACCCAAATCTCCTTATAAGCTTAATATTCTAGCATTCTATAATGTTCTGTGTGATATAATTGAAGTCCCAAGTTTTGGGAATTGAAATTAAGCATCTCTTTGTTTTGATCTTAGTTTACTGAACCCTAAATCCCAAGCAGTTAAGATTTTCTATAATATTATAATATTTCTTTTGAGGGAATTTCCAGGAAGTCTGGAAGATTTGGGCTCTCATATGTTCCCTGGTTTGTCATGCAAATTTCCTAAAAAGATTATTTTCATAGTTGTTTCCAGGTACTTTATATGTTGTTATCTTTGATATCTTTGATATCTATGATATCTTTGAGGTATAACGCAGCTTAGATTGGTTAAGAACGAACTACTTTTATTATACCTTATTGAGGTTGTCAGGGTCTTTTTAAATATTTTCAACATTAGAAAGGGAAGCAAAACAATAACCCATGCTGGGCTTTGTTGGTGTCTAGATGGGAACCTTCTCTTCGCATGACCCCTGACCAGGCCCTCAAGCATGCTTGGATTCATGAGCCACGGAATTTCAAACCACGGTCCAGGCCCCAGACCCTGAGGAAACCCAGTCTCTGTTTCCCCTCTGAGGCTCGGAAGGAAAAGGTTCAAGGGCATCATCCCTTGGGCAAAAAAGGTACAGTCAGTCCTCTTCCTATAGTCCAGGGATCGGGTACCTCTGGAGAATTGTATGTCAATTTCTCTGACCTCCACCTTGGATAATTATTCTGACTACATCACCAGGAGCCTGCCATTTCTCACTTTTGAGTATAACCTCTTTCAGGAGTCTTGCTTCTAGCTGGATTTGCCCCCCTTTTTGCCCTGTTATCATTAGGATTTTCCATTTTTCTCTGTCTTCAATTCTTTTCTTGTCCTTTCCTTTTCTTTCACTGTGTCCTCCTCTGGCTTGCCTATAATTAGCTTTTGAATTTTTATCAGACTGATTATGGCATTATGCAGATATCTTTTATATGCAATATAGCCTCATGGTTATGTACATCATCCCTGGGGTCAGGTTGCCTGGGATTAATTCTGGTTCTACCATTTACCAGGTGTAGGCCCTTGGGCAATTTAGTTAACTTCCCTGTGTCTCAGTTTCTTCATTTATGAGAATGAGAATAATGCCTATTCTCTATGGTTGTGAAAAGGCTCAAAGAAATTAATAAATGTAAAGTGCTTAGAATAATGCCTGACACAGAGAATGCTCTTTACAAATGAATTGTTTTTATATCATTACTACCAGGATTTTCCCAAAGTGATTTATGGTCTAATAGAATATAATTCACATTTGAACATTTATTCCTTCTGTCTTCTCTCTCCTTTGGCAGAGGTGACCATCAAAGAAGAGACCATAGACAAAATAAAAGGTGGCACTGCTAAGCAGGTTCAGAATTCAGGTGATCAGCAGGGCATTCTCCAGCACACATCTGAAGTTGTCCAGTTGCCTCAGCTAACAGAAGCTTCCAGAAAGCCAGAGGCATTTGTTGGACCAGAGGAGTCCAAAACCTCCCCAGGGCATCAAAGTAAAAACTCCTCATCCAAAAACATGAATATTTTACCACCTATTTTATGACCTTTGCTGAAGGTGTGTCCTGTTCCTTTCCACCAAGGATTTTTATTAGAGACAGCACTTATATTGTACAATATTACAGAGATTGTTGTTTTTTAATGCATAAAGGTTTTTTTTTTTTAAAAAAAAACTTTATTCATATGGCTAGTTAAGCATGATTCCTATTATGAGAGATGCGGGAAAATGTCCTTGCACCTACACTCCCTTCTTATGCCCTCAATCAGATAAAACAATGTATGTGTGGGGTGGGGGGGAGGGGTAAGTATTCAATGGTATAGTATCACTAATAGAACTCTAAATAAAAGAATTTTTTTTCTTTTCCCCACAAGACAGCTAACCTGTTAGGACTCTTATTTGAAAATGAAAATGAAAAACTAGTTTGAATTCAGCTATTAACTAGTTTAAGCAACAAAGGACATCTATTGGCTTATGTAATTGGGGAATCAGGAGGTGTAAGTAAGTGTAGTTTCAGGCACAGCAGAATCTAAAAGTTCAGACAAGGTCATAGGGCTCAGACTCCCTCATCACCTGTTAGTTTTGCTTCTTTTTGTGGTTTTCATTCTAAAGACAAGCTCTGCCAAGATGTTAAAGTAACCACCATTATCCAGTCAAAAGATGCAGTGCTGGCAGGAAAATCTCAGAAATTATTGGATTTGAACCAAGCACTATGTCTGAGATATTGGGATCCTGTGGTTGGCCAGCCTGGGTCACAAGCCTATACTGTGATGGTGGTAGCACCATGACTGATGCCTCTCTTGGAATGTGGAGTAGGGGACAGAATATTTCCCAAAGGAAGGGAAGTCGAGTAAACAACAGGATATGTTCATTCATCCAGCATCCTCAAAATCTAATCAGGTTCTTTTGGTTTACTAGTCCTTATCTACATGAATACATAATCTTTATATGATTGTAATTATAGAACAGATACAATTTTACAAGAAACTTAAGATCATAACCTCATAAACAACATAGAAAATATACCTGACTTTATAGTTTTCCTTTTAATCACTGTGTCATATTCCATGAAGGGAGACACCTTTTACCCAGGAAAGGTGAAACAGAATGAGAATAGCAGAGGGTCCAAAGGAAATAGGAAAGATAAATATTCCAGGGGTTGACAGAATTGAGTAGAGCCCCCAAGAGATGGAATTAATACAGAAATTAGGAACCAAAGGAGAAAGTTTCTAGCAAGATCAAAAATATAAAATTTCACAGAAAGTTGAGGGTAAGAACAGAGAATGCCTTAGGTGGGAGAAATGTCCTAACAGGTGACTTGTCCCAGGTCCTATAGCCAGAAAAGTATAGACGTGGCAATAGAACTCAGGTCTTCTGACACCAACTATGAATAAAATTGAGGAAGACCATTGTTCTACAGAGATAGGAGAAGAAGCCAAGTCCTCCATATCATAATGAGAATGATTCAGGTTGAATAGAAGATACTTTGTGATTTGCATGATTATAAAGGCTAAATAGTCTTATTCTTAGGGAACATTTTAAGGCCAGAGATCTGCAAGTTGTAGCACAGACAAGATACATAGAAACACCTTAGCAGGCCTCTCAGTCCAGCACTATTTTTCTTCTTGTTATCCATCTGATTATTTTTTAATTCCTGAAATTTCTTGACCTTATTGTCCATTGGATCCCAAGGAAACCAAACACCTGGAGTCCTTTCATTGTAATCTTTTTAATTTTGTGTCCTTGCTTGCATGGACGGGAAAATCTGCAAAATCCAGTGACTAGCATAAGATGACGTGTCTTTGATGTGAGTGGTATGATAGGGCTCTGTAAGGATATGGAGAGGAGAGCTGTGGAAGTAAGAAGGGATGGGGAGAAGGGAAAGCAGTGGGTGGGCGCCGATCACAGGTTCACCATCAGCCAGTCCAGCAGCTGCAGCCGTGTAACATTTCCCACCGCCTCGTCCAGCTGTCGCTCCTTCTCGTAGCGCAGCACCGACTGCAGGACCTCACCTACACTACGTCCTTTGTCCACAGCAGCAGCCGAGAGCTGAAGTAGCTGTGGAAAGGAAAGAAAGCAGTAGTGTAAGGACAGAGCATCCCAGGGCAGACCAGAAAGGGCCTGACAAGGCTGGAACAAAGAGGCTGGGCAGAACTTGGAAAACTTCGGAAGAAGGGGCTCCAATTAGATGCTGAGAAGACTTCCATAATTGGAAAGAAGAGATGTTAGCATCCACCTTACATCATATGGAAAGTACAATCTCCCACTAAGACTAAATCTTGCTTCCTCCAGTAGGTATTTGGTCAAGAGTGATCTTGTTTTCTAAGACTTTTAAAGTTCTTAAGCTCACTGTAATATCATAAAACAGTCTTCCACCATTGTCCTAAGACCGACAAGGGCAGGGGTGAAATAACCAGAGGACAAACGGACATGTTGCTTTCCATGTCCCACAAAACAGAGAGCCTAGAATGCTAGAGCACAAGAGCAACTCAGAGATCCATTCAACCCTCATGAAGACATGGCTCAGAGAGGTGGTGAGACTTGTCAGTAATACAGTGCTAGAAATTAGCAGAAGCAACATGCATATCCAGATCTCTGAACCCCATGTTCCTCTCTCTTTCCAAGCTCGAAATGAGAAAAATTAGCCAAAGCAATAATTCTGACCATATGAACACAGTACATCACCATTCATCTAAAGTAACCAGAGTTTTGGGCACCTGGGTGGCTCAGTTGGTTAAGCGTCTGACTCTTGGTTTCAGTTCAGGTCATGATCTCACACGGCTTCTTCATGGGTTCGAGCCCTGAATTGGGTTCTGTGCTGGGAGGGTGGTGCTTGCTTGGGATTCTCTCTCTGCCCCTCCCCCACTTGCACTGTTTCTGTCAAATAAAAACAACCAGATTTTTATTTTGTGTATTCTGCATCTGACTCTCTGAGAAAGAGTTAAAAGGAAAATAAATAGGCCAAGTATCAGGAGCTTTTCCAAAGGGGGAAATTTCCATGAGAGAGAATAAAGTAACATATGGATATTCTTAAAACAAATGGAAGGACCAAGTCAACAGAGAGAAGCTATAATTTTAGAACTAAAAACATAAAATCTAAATGAAAACTTGTCAGATGGGCTAAATTGAATGAAGATGAGAGAGAAAAGTTAGTTAAAGATGGATTCATAGAAATAAACTGCATTGAACAACATAAGAAATTGATTAAACTTTCTTCAATAAAACCTCTTTGAAAAAAATAAAGTGAGCTCAGGGACCTGTGGAATAATGCCAAAGGCCTTGCTTTTATGTCATTAGAGTTCCAAGAGAGGAATAAAGAGTTTGCAGAAAAAATGCTGCAAGAAACAATGGATGAAAGTTTCCCCAACTTGCCAAGAGATATAACTGACAAATTCAAAAAGCTCAGTGAGCCTAAAATAAGATAAACCTAATGAAATTCACTTTAGGACCTGTCAAAATCAAATTGCTGAAAATTAAAGAAAAATCTGAAAGCAGTCAGAGAAAATGCTGAATTATTTTTAAAAGAATAATTCAAATGACAGCATATTTTGGTCAAAAACCAAAAATGTCAGAAGGAAATGGCACAACACTTTTAAGCACTAAAAAGAACTGCCAAATCAGAATCCTGTATCAAAAATTATACATCAGGAATAAGGTAAAAAATGTTTATTTATTTATTTGAGAGAGACAGAGTGCACACAAGCCAGGGAGGGGCAGAGAGAAAAGGAGGGAGAGAGAGAGAGAATCCCAAGCAGGCTCCATGCTGGCAGTGTAAAGCCTGATGTGGGGCTTGATCCCACGAACTGTGAGATCATGACCTGTGCTGACAGCTGAGCCTGGAGCCTGCTTTGGTTCTGTGTCTCGCTCTCTCTCTGCCCCTCCCCTGCTTGCACTCTGTCTCTCTTTCTCAAAAATAAATAAAACATTTTTTAAAAACTTAAAAAAAAAAACCACAAAAGAAGTCATGGCCAGAAATTGTGTTCTAATTCTTCAGGCAAAAGGAAAATTATGTCAGAAGGAAACTGGGAACATCAGGAATGAATGATGAACAACAGAAACAGTAAAAATCTCAATAATAAATTTTCTCTGTTCTTTAAAATACTGGCATACCTTGAAGATATTGTGGGTTCAGTTCAAGACCACCATAATAAAGTGATATCACACTTTATATAAAGTGAGTCAATTTTTTTATCACAATAAAGTGAGTCAAACCAAAAAAATATAATAGTATTGTTTACACTATTAAGTGTGCAACAGCATATGTCCAGAAAACAATGTACATAATTAAAAAATACTTTATTGCTAAAAAATGTCAACCATTATTTGAGTTTTCAGTGAATTTTTATCACTGATTACAGATCATCATAACAAATATAATAGTGAAAAAGTTTGAAATATTTTGAGAATTACCCAAATGAGACACAGACACACAGAGTGAGCAAATACTGCTGGGAAAATGGCACCAACAGACTTGGCAGATATAGGGTTGCTACAAACCTTTGAATTTGTGAAAAATGCAATACCTGCAAAGCACAATAAAGTGAGGCACAATAAAATGAGGTGTGACTTTATTTTTTATAATTGAAAGCAAAAATAACATTGTCTAAGGATTTTTCTAATATATGTAGATTACATTAAATAACTACAACGTAAGGGAGAAGGTAATGAGACCTATAAAGTAGTAAGATTTCTACACCACAGTTTAAGTGGCAACTATTGATTCTACATAGACTCTAAAAAGTATGTATATTGTAATCCTTAGGGAAACTACTTAAAAAACAACACAGAGATATAGTCAAAAACACAATAAATTAAAACAGAATACTAACAAAAAAAATTAAATAATCCAAAAGGTGGCAACAAATGGGGGAAAAGGAGGTAAATTAGAACAGTTGACCCAAATCCAAACATATCAATAATTAGGCTAAATGTAAATGATGTAAACATACCAACTGTCAGAATGGATTTAAAAAAAACATGACTAGACTATATGTTACCTACAAAAAAGAAAAAACCTCTTCAAATGATATAGGTAAGTTAAAAGTAAAAATATTGAAAAAAATGTATCATTGAAACATCAATTGAAAAAAAGTTAGAATCTCAACATTTATGGACAAGTGATTTTTTAAAAAGGGGAAAGATAATTCATAAGGGCCAGCTCTCCATTTGTCTTTTCAACAAATGATACTGAGACAACTCATATCCACATGCAACAGGTGAATTTCGATGCCTTCCTCACATTATACACAAAAATGAACTCAATGTGGATCACAGACCAAAATATAAGAGCTGAAATTATCCAAGAAAACAAAGGAGAAAATATTCATGGCTGGGTTAGGTCAGGGTTTCTCAATCTGGTCCTATTTACGTGATGGGCCAGGTAATTCTGTGTTGTGGGCTGTACTGTGCATTCTAGGATGTTTAGCAGCATCCCTGGCCTCTTCTACTAGACCCAAGTAGCAACTCCCTCTCAGCTGATGACACAACAAAATATATCTCTAGATACTGCCAAATGTCCCCTGGGGGCAAAACTGCTTCCATTTGAGAACCACTGGGGTAGGCAAGGATTTATTAGATATAACATCAAAAAGCACAAGCAATATGTTTTCATTCTTATGTGGATCCTGAGAAACTTAACAGAAGACCATGGAGGAGGGGAAGGAAAAAAAAAGTTAGAGAGGGAGGGAGTCAAACCATAAGAGACTCTTAAAAACTGAGAATAAACTGAGGGTTGATAGGGGGTGGGAGGGAGGGGAAAGTGGGTGATGGGCATTGAGGAGGGCACCTTTTGGGATGAGCACTGGGTGTTGTATGGAAACCAATTTGACAATAAATTTCTATTAAAAAAAAACCACAAGCAATAAAGGCAAAAAATAAATTAGATTTTATAATTGAAAACTTTTGCTCTTCAAAAGACTCCATTGAGTAAGAAGACAAACTGTAGACTGATAGAAAATATGTGCAAATCATTTCTATCTGATAAAGGACTCGTATCCAGAATATATAAGGAATTCTTATAACTTGGTTAAGAAGAAACCAACCCAGTCAAAATATGTGCAAAAGAGGGGCACCTTGGTGGCTCAGTTGGTTAAGTGTCCAACTTCAGCTCAGGTTATGATCTCACGGTTCATGAGTTCAAGCCCTGCATCAGGCTCTGTGCTGACAGCTCAGAGCCTGCTTAGAATTCTCTGTCTCCCTCTCTCTCTGCCCCTCCCCTGCTTGTGCTCTCTAAAATAAATAAACATTAACAAAAATATATGGGTAAAAGATTCACGCAGACAACTCACCAAAAAATATATATGAATGGTTAATGAGCACATAAAATGATGTTTATCAAATTAAATCTACAGTGAAATACCATTATAACAACTATAAAAAAATAATGTTGACAAAAATATGGAGAAACTGAAACCCACATACACCACTGGTGGGAATGTAAAATGGTACAGCTATCTTGGAAAACAGTTTGGAAGTTTCTTAAGAATTATGCTAACCATAACATGTAGCAATCCCACTCCTTGTTACCCAAGAGAAATGAGAACATGTGTCCACACAAAGACTTGTATGTGAGTATTCATAATAGCATTATTCATAATAGCAAAAAAGTGAAAATAATCCAAATTTCCAGTAGCTAATGAATGGATAAACAAAATGCATTATATATCCATTTCATGAAATTCAGCAATAAAGAGAAATGAACTACTGATACATACTACAACATGGATAAACCTCAAAAATATTATGCTTAGTGTGTGTAGTCTTTTACAGATGTAAAAGACTGCATATTTTATGGCTCCATTATAGAAAATGAAAGAAAGGTAAACCTATGATGATGGAAAACATAAATGTTTACATGTGGCTGGGGGACAGAAACAGAAATGTACCCTAGAAAGTTCTGAGATAGAGAAGTAAGGAGTTCCTAGACTTATCAGATACTAAAACACATTACTGAATAGCAGTAATTAAAACAATATGCTAGTAAAATACTAGGAATGGACAATTCAATGTAACAGAACAGAACATTCAAGAAAAGAACCAACAACCTGTAGCACCTAGAA